GAGCCACTCAGTAACAGGACCAGAACTTTACTATTCTAAAGTTTAATGGTTGCTTTTCCATTATACAACTACCATTCAAGAGAAAAACACTGTGATAAATTTGTAAAAATTCCGAGATGCTATCTTTTTCTTCTTCCATTTATTCTTGAAAAGGACATGAATCCAATTAGTATATTTCTTTGACTGATGAACACTCACTCACTCACTCAAGCTCTGCCCATTTACTCTGCCCACTTGCTTTTTCCCAGAGGTCATTTAAAAAGAAAATCATGTGTTAAGAATTCTAACTGCAAAAAAAAAATGTTTTACCCTGAAAGTAAATATAAAACACGTGTGTTTATTACCAGAGCAAAAGCTATGCTCCCCACCTGACCATTGTTGGTAAGAATTTAGACTCTTGTGCGACCTCTTAGAGAGGTAAAACACCCACCCTCGGTGAGAGCAGCTATGACTCTGTGAAAGCAGCTACAAATAACATGCTGGGAAATTCAGCAGGCACTGCTATTATATCCTGTTTATACTGTCATTTTTCCTATCAGTAGGATATTATTTATACAGACCCCACCCATGAACTTCTTGTTTATCTTATTATAGATATCCTCTGAATCTATAAAAAGAAGACAGCATTTGTTTCTGGAACAAGCCGTGTGTTATAATTTTGCACCTCACTACACTTTTTTATTTAGCATTTTCTTTTGTTATGTACTACTTTTTCTCCTTTTTATCTCAGGGTTGATTTTTTTCATTATCTCACACATTAGAGTTGAACTTTACTGACTTCGAGAGACTCATTACAGGACAGATATTCTGGACAACCACACTCCTAACTTTATTTGGAGGTAGATTTCACCATGTAGATATTCTTCCAAGACACACTGAACTAATTTGTTTAAAGAGAGAAAAACGTGCCTATGTACTGGTCGCACAGGAGTGAGTAAGCCCTGGGTGCCCAGAAGGCTTCTCTATCCCGGGTGAGCCAACTACAAGGGCCCGGCTTTCTATTAGTTCTTATGAATGCAATCTCTTTTCTGGAATGAAAAGCCCTTCCCCTGAGTTTAGCTTGATGACTGGATGTGCTGGGTGAAAATGAAACACAACAATGCATGAGAAATACATTAATTCAGTAAGCTGACCAATGGGACAATGAACCAAACTGGTTATAAATCATCCTCATTCCCTAGCTTTATGTAAATAATTGAATTAAAGTAGATTAAAAAAATTGTGAGTTCCTAAGGGCAGAAATTCATGCAGCATTTATTGAGCAAATAAATATTTCTGGAGAGGAAACATCATTGGACAACGTCATACTGGATAAATTTTCACATGAATATCTGTGTTAGCTTCAGCAATACTCACTTTACCCTACAAGGCAGCTGGGTGAGCATGAATCTTCAAAGAGAATGTACAGTGCTAGACTCTTCAGGGATGTGCATGAAAGATCACTACTCTAAAATGCATAACTGCCCTGGCTGGCTGGCATGGTTCAGTGAATTGAGCATCGGCCTATGAACCAAAGGGTCACTGGTTTGATTCTTGGCCAGGGCACATGCACATGCCTGGGTTGTGGACCAGGGCCCTAGTTGGGGGCATGCAAGAGGCAACCAGTCAATGTTTCTCTCCCTCCCTCTCCCTTCTCTAAAAAAAAAATCTTAAAATGTATAACTAAAATAAATTTTAGTACCTCAGGGTGGTGCACTAAGATTAATTTCAGAAAAAAGAGATGTCCATATGAGCTAAAGTGATCAAAGAAGACAGAATAAGGACAGTAACTGAGGTAAACTCAATAAACAAAAATTGATAAGCTGAGGTGACAAAGTGAAAGGCATCCTAGGGTCAACCTATTTGCACACACCCAGGTAAAACAGAATTCTGGAAATGGTGAATAGCTGAATCCAGCTAGGGCCTACACTAGCTGGATTAGAAGATGACAATAAAAAGAAGGTTGGAGGCCCCTTACTATGTAACAGGCACACCTAGGCCAAAAAAAAAAAGGCCCAAATGAAAGAACAGATCAAAGCTCCAGAAAAAAATACAACTTAAGTGATGAAGAGATAGCCAACCTATCAGATGCACAGTTCAAAACACTGGTAATCAGGATGCTCACAGAATTGGTTGAATTTGGTCGCAAATTAGATGAGAAAATGAAATAAAGGAAAATGTACAGGGAACCAACAGTGATGGGAAGAAAACCAGGATTCAAATCAATGGTATGGACCAGAAAAAAGAAACATTCAACCAGAACAGAATGAAGAAACAAGAATTCAAAAAATGAGGAGAGGCTTAGGAACCTCCAGGACATCTTTAAACATTCCAACATCTGAATTATAGGGGTACCAGGAGGAGAAGAGGAAGAGCAACAAGTGGGAAACTTATCTGAACAAACAGCAAAGGAGAACTTCACCAATCTGGCAAAGGAAATAGACTTCCAGGAAGTCCAGGAAACTCAGAGAATCCCAAAGAAGTTGGACCCAAGGAGGAGCGCACCAAGGCACATCATAATTACATTAGCCAAGGTTAAAGATAAGGAGAGAATCTTAAAAGCAGCAAGAGGAAAGGGGACAGTTCCTTCCAAAGGAGTTCCCATAAGACTGTCAGCTGATGTCTCAAAAGAGACCTTACAGGCAGGAAGGGGCTGGAGAGAAGTATTCGAAGTCATGAAAGGCAAAAAACCTACACTCAAGGCTACTCTATCCAGCAAAGCTTTCATTTAGAATGGAAGGACAGATAAAGTGCTTCTCAGATAAGATCGAGTTAAAGGAGTTCATCATCACCCAGCCCTTATTATATGAAATGTTAAAAGGATTTATCCAAGAAAAAGAAGATAAAAAATGTGAACAGTAAAATGAAACAACCTCACAATTATAACAACCACATCTAAAATAAAAACAAAAACAAAAAAAGAAGGTTGGAATCAAATTATGAGGGTCTCATTTTTTGGTCAACAGAGAACCATGAAAGACAACTGATCAAGGGAAAATGAACCCAAGCTTTCAAACTAGGAATGAACATAAGGAAGAAGAGTTGAAGTGCGGCTGAAAAGGGGGGGAGATTTTAACAGTACCAAAACAGTAGCAAAAGAAAGGACCAAGTGACATAACAGATGATAAATGAGTTTCAACTCTTGCTTTCAGAAACAGGAGATGGCACCATGATGATTACCACTGAGTACTCCAAGTTAAACAAGGCCAGGCCACTGAAGTTCAAGTCAGGCAAGCTTAAGAGTATCCTAGAATAGGAATTCTCAGACCCAAATCACCTGGAGATCTGGTTAAAATGTAAATTCTGACTCAGGTTTAGGGTGGTGCTCCCTATTTTTACATTTCCAACAAGCTCCCAATACTGCTTTTCCATAGACTACATTTTGAGTAGCAAGATGCTAAAACATCTGTTTCCCTTGCCAAAAGGGTAGTGTTTGATACACTACGTTTAATCCATTGTGGTTTATCTAATGCTTTTATATACACCTAAGAAATTCCTTTTAAACGTATTTTATTATAATCTGCATCAATGCTGGATCAGTTTCAAAAGCTGCTATTTTAAAATTATAAGATGATTCAACATTCAGGGTATTTAAGATACTCAAATTATTTCCGCCTGTACAAAATCAACTTTAGAATGCTGCTCTGTAATGCTGTAATTCTGTCATTCTTTTCAGGCTGGCAAACTAGAAGTTGCTATTGCTTCTAATCTTGGGGCTGAAGTAAAGCCCTGAAAGACAACCCTCCATCTGTTCACAGTGCGCATCAGTGGGTTTTGGTAAAACCCACTTAACTTGCCCTTCGAACTATATCTTAATCCTTGACAATAAACGTAACAGCTTACTTTAAATGTACTACTGGAAAACACCTGAAGATTACAAAAATTAAATTCATACACCATCCTTCTGTTTAAGATCTCCATACAAAAGGGTATGCCTTTAATTAAAGTCTTTTACCATGAACAGTGTCATTTACAAAAAAAACACACACACATACATTAAGATTGGCTGGTCTTAATTCTTGGGACAAAAGTTAAGGCTTCTGAAATCTCATTTCATTTTTAATCAAATTAGTGGTCAATAATAATTTTTTAGGTAAATTGTCTTCAATACTTATCAATGTCTAGTGAACATACATAGTATGTTAAAATTGGAAGGTACTATTGAAGATCAGATCCAACTATTTCCTTACCTCACCCACTGAGCTACTAAAAAGGCCAAAGTCATATAGCTGCCACTGACATATTAAAAAAAAGAACAGTGAGGAATGAGTTAATTTTCACATCTATCAGAGACAAAGCATGACGTATCAACTACAAAACATAGTTGAGAGTTTATGGTTCCTCTAAAGACTAAGGCATAGCTGGTTTTATAAATCACTGATATCAAAAAAAGGAACACTACAAAACAACAAAGAAAGACATGCTACCCAACTTAACTCCATAAAAAATGCAGTCTGAATAGAAAATGACACATTTACACCACATACTGGGGGTAGGGATTTGGTGGGGTGGGTAATGGGATGGGATATAAAAAACAGAGAGAAGACAATGGTAACTCGTCTCTTCTCAGCAATGGTTTGAGAAAAGCTTTCACACACAGAAAAGTGGTTTAAAAAAACACAACTTCCTTCATTCTCACAAATCATTCTTTAATTGGTAAAAGCGAGAATCAGATCTGGAGGACTGCACATATATGACATGTAGGTAGCAGTTGGATAATTCATGTGTCATGAGCTCTGTCACAAATACAAGAAAACCAGAGAACCCTTTTTAAGACATAAAATAGGGAATTTTGTCCTTTTTCACAAATGCTATTAAAATTTTCTAGCACAAGTTTTGAAAAATCACTGGGGAAGTTCCATGATATCAGAGACAATGGGTTTTAAATCACTGGCATACATTATTATGCCCAAGTTGACAGATCTGCACTGCAATGCAGAAATGCAAGCAATAATCCAACATCTGCACCAGAAGGCAGAGATCAGACATGATTCCAGAATAAAGGGCTCTTCAGCTCTTACCTGTTACCTGTGCAACAACTGCTTGGGAAATCCTCCGATTGGCAAGAAAGGCTTTGATTTCCTCTTTTATCACACTGCTGTCCCTCCTAACAAAAACAGAAGACAAGACCAACAATGTATGTTGAAGGTAGAAATCCTCATCTTTGCTAAGAAAGGTGAAGCAGAGAGGTGGGGAGAACATAGAAAGGAAGGACACAAAAATAAAGGCAAACACACCAAGTTTGTGTGAAACATGAAATTAAAAGAAACCAAGAAACACCAAATATTCAAGTCCTAAAATACCACACTATCAGACGGACGCTGTAGTGAATGCCACAGTAGTTTTAAGTTTCATACCAGGAGGTGGCTAACTGCATGCTGTGAATAATTCACATTAGGAACAAGGCTGCCATATGGAATGCACAAAGTGTCATTACTGTGGGATGAATGTATCTTACACAGACAGAAATCCTAGAAAATAGAAGCAACAACAAAAAAATCAGTGGTGAGTAGACTGTGGGTTCGCATGTTCACTATGCACTGCACAAATAAGGTGCAGTTCATTTTAAATCCTTTGTTGAAGAACAGAAATCATCATCATTCTCACAACTGCTAAAATATTAGTCATTTTGAAAGAGTCTTTGCCTTTTAATTTGCCTAATTTTCCTGTATAAACCAAAAAAAATTTTTGGTGGGGTGGGTTGCATATAAAATTTTAATATAAAAAGGCACTTATAAATTTATTACATGTGTTATACGCAATACTTAATACTTAAACCTACACTATTTTCTGCACCCTTGAATTACATAATATAGATCTAATTTTACCTTCACTAAGATGCCTTAACAATTTTCACTTATTTAAAAATTCAACAAATTCTCAAAAGACTAGACATTCACGAGAATGAATATGAACAGCAAGACTTCTGTTTCTCCACTGAAACAAAGAGAATATGTAAAGAAAAATTAAAACAGCGCTTTCTCTTTGAATGTTTTATGTCCAAAAAGATTACATAAATAGAGCACTAGTGTTTGTTGAAGCCCAAAGTAACAGAATAGTGGTAACATAATCTACTACAGCGGTCAGCAAACTCCCACCTCTTTTTTTATACAACCTATGAGCTAAGAATGGTTTCCACGGATGAACATTTGTAATCAACTTAGTGGCAGGAGACATTATCTTTAAATGTGAACTAAAGCAAAGTATTATCCCCTCCCAAATTCTATTTTTCTCACTAGTAGGCTTGTATTTTTTAGATTCTATTTAATTATCATTCTACACTAAATTTTGTTAATAAAAAAAATTTGTGTCCATTTGTTTTCTCTCTTGTATGTAAGTTGTCTATATGATATCCTCAATTTTGTCTCTTGTCCAAAAAATCTGAATGTTTACCATCTAGTGCTTTATGTAAAAAGTTTGCTGATTCTTGATCTTCGACAAAGGAATCATGAAATCTTTACAATCATTGTGTGAATGAACCACAAACTCTTTATAGGAGCTCAAGCCTCTCTATAGATCTTTTGGAGAAACAAAGAAAAGTACCCTTTCCAAAACGAATTAGTTGTAACTTAATGTAAAGCAGATATTTTAGCCCCTCAGGGAGGGGCTACACATTCTCTTAGTGGATTTCATGCTCCCTTTCAGTCATTCTGGAAGAGAACAGAGAGGTGACAATAGGGAGAGAGAGCGTCCAATCTGAGCTCTACAGTATACTCCCGATCTACTGGTTGGGAATCCTAATTAAAAAAAAGATTCCCAAAGAAAGAAAATAGCTGCCTAATCCAATATCTAAAATTTCTCATACTGATCTAGCTTCTGATCTAGATAATAAACTCCTTCCAAAATGCTTGTTCATGTTTAAAATATTTCCTTGAAAAATATGCTCGTTTTATTTTAAAAATTGTGTCTTTGACAGAAAAGACACAAATAAGTACATTTTAAAGTCAAACAAAATCACAAACTACTGAGTAAAATACAGGTAATATAGACTAAACAGCTCACAAATATCCATCAATAATCAGCTGAGCAAGAGATAACTTTAGTAGTATCTACGTCACCTGGCTGATATGCATAAAACAACCAAATCATTTGGTTTCAGCAAAATTAAAATGAAAACACTTAAAGAAAGTACTGCAATTCAATGTATAGAGTGTCCTCAGAAAATAAAGCCTGAATATTAAAGTAAAATTTTTAATGTGCTTTTATGGAGAAAATGATTAGATAGTATTTTCTTGACCACTGATGTAAACTGGAATTTAAATCAATTTACTTTAAATCAAATTAACCTGGAGTAGACACTAAATCAGATAGAGGAGGTCATTCTCAATTATTCCAACAGGGAATACCCAGTTTGTGAATTATTCACAGTCTTGCAGTATGATACGGTCAAGGATGGCGGCAAGACAGCAGCAATTCACTTACACTCCCGTAGACTGCACTTGTAGATACCTGACGAGTTTCTAAGGACCCACAGTGAGTCTCAAAGAAACCTCATTACTCAACTGCTTTACCAGAGAGTCTTTTTTGAATTTAAGACTTGAAAGAAAAGGGTGTGCTTGGGCGAGTCATTTAATAAGCCTGGGCTTTGGTTTCATCATCTGGTAAAATGAAAACATTAATACCACCATCACACAGCTTTTGAAATGTTTTTCCAAGCAATGAAATTAAACTTAAATGAAATTTAATACTAAATGTGTATATAACATAAATAGAATGTTTTTCAGTGTAAACATTTTTGAAACTGTAAAAGCACTATATAAACAATGGCTGTTATTTTATAAAATACCAGAAAAAATCCCAGGAAAAGTAGAAACAAATGACCTGCTGTAACTACATAAGACTGAATTAAACATCTGCAATTCGGTACTTTAAGGCACTGTGAAAATAATTCTAGAAAGCCATCTTAGACACAAACAGTGATGTGGCATTCTGTTGGCTTTACTAGGTACCTTCAAAACAGCAACGCCATTCAACTTTCTTCATGTCCAATTCCCTTACGTAATTAAAAACACTTCCATTCTACTGCGTTGCCTTTGTTCTTTAAACTTTCACATACACCCCTCCTCCTCCCCTCATTCAGCCTTCTTAACCTGCCTCTCCTACTGTACACATTGTACCCTGTGAAATTACCACTTTCTTGGTATAAAAACTCTTTCATTTACTCCAAATAGAATTTTCTCCCACTCCTTACTTCTTCTCTTCTGAAATCTGACATCCTCTTTAAAGAGAATAAATCCCTTTTGCCTCCCACATCTTATAAAGTCTCACACTCCAAAGGGTTTCTTCTCAAGTCTTACAGAATTAAAGTCAAATGTAGGCTGACCTTTCTTTGACTCCATAGCTTACTTCCCAGAGAAGCTGCCACTCTATCTGCAGCTAACCACTGGGAGTCCATGTCATCATCTCTTCCTGCTGCCTTTTCCAAACACAGCCATCTTGGATTCTCTGTGTGATTTCCACATGTGGATAGAATTCTTCCTTTCCATCCTCTACTACCATTATTTTTATAACTTGCTAAACTTTCCATTGTTTTGACAGACCTTTCCTAGTATCTGGATAAATTAATCAGCAATGCCTCTGTGAAATCATCCCATTTTCAGACAGAATCTGATTTTCATCTATTCAGAGAAGTTCTCCCTGATCCCGGAAGCTAACAACTTTTCTTCCAATAGCACTTTAACGTTTCAACTGTATTACCTACATGCTAATATGTTACATGCTATTCTGTGTAACAGTTGTTTGTTATCTCTCTTGCTGGTCTGTAAAGTCCTTTAACACAAAAGCTGTCTTATTCATCATGGGGTTTGCATAAAATACAGTTTTTAATGTGTTCAATGAATGAATAAATCTGTGGTTGGAGATAAAAGGTTGTAAAATAGAAAACCTGATCTAGAGAATTTATAAAACAACTCTAAATTCTTATATATGTTTCAACTTCCACACCAGAATGAAAAAAGAATTATTTATGCTAGCTCAAAATGGCAATACTTTCTTTTCTGGAACAAAGAATACTAAGGAATGCATATTTAAAAGTAGCATGCTTTCAGATCTTCCATAATGTTTTGGTTGATATACCCTACATATTCTTTGAGATTCCCCCAAAAGGTAGTCTTATTTTCTCTTTTTTATTAAATATATTGGTGACACTGGTTGACATTAAAGGCAGTCTTTTATCTCAGAGACTTCCAGAGATGAAAGTCAGATTATTTCACAGATGGAAAAATAGAATTACATACAAATTCTTTTATATTTGAATAAAAACCTGATCCCTTTAATTTCCATACATGGAGATAAACAAAGCATAATTTAAATTTTTAAAAGATAATTTTCAAAAGAAAAGCTACTCTGTATGTATAAACAACATGGTAACTGAATATTACGACTTATGGAACCATAAGTACCCTACCTACACAAGTAAATAATACCCTATTGTTAGGGCTATAGATAATCAACTCAAAAGAAAGTCTTGGAATCTTATATAAAATACTAATTACTGAGTCCAGCACAAATAATGCCCCTTTTTTATTATAAAATCTTAAGTATGTAATTTTGTAACATAACAATATCACACTCAAGCACACCATATGACATTTTAGGTGAAATGTTCAAATTAAAACTATAAATTATTACACCCATATTATTACCCTACCAACCACACTCAAGCAGGCCTTACTTCTGCCGGACCCTGTGTATTATTATAACACTAACCTCATTTCCATTGTCATTTTGTAATATATATAGAACAAAACAGATACTTTAATAAATGTATACTATGATGTCAGCAGATATTTATATACACCTACATATAGATATTAATAGATGCATTTAAAAATATTAACATGTGAATGGGCACCATTCTAAAGCTATGAGATTTAAAGTCCCTCCTAGAATGTTATATTCAACAATTTGTTAAGTATTTATATTCTGGTTTCCTTTTTATGTTTTTCACCCTGATCAATTCAAAAATGGAAAAAGTAACAGTTACTTCCTTTTTCATTCTCTTTTAACAGGTTGATGAGGCATAATTATAACAAACAATATACAAAAAAAATTCCTTTATGCACCTTGAAATTACTAAAGTTAAGGGTAAAGCCCTGACCAGTGTGGCTCAGCTGGTTGGGTGTTATCCCACAAAGCTAAAAGCCACCAGGTTGATTTCCGGTCAGGGCACATGCCTGGGTTGGGGGTTTGGTCCCTGGTCAGGGCGTGTATGAGAGGCAACTGATCAATGTTTCTCTTGCACATGGATGTTTCTCTCCCCCTCTTTCTCCTTTCCTCTGTCTAAAACTAAATAAATAAGATCTTCTTTAAAAAAACTTAAGCATATGGATATAATGGGTCATGAAATTTGAAAAATATATTTCATGATTGAGTACTAGGGAAGTTGGGCAATGTGAGCATGCAAAAGGTGAATTATACAGGGTGGGGCAAAAGTAGGTTTAGAGTTGTTTGTATGAAAAATAATACAATAACTAATAAATAATAATGCAAGAATAAACTGTGTTTTGCTTACTCACAACCATAAATCTACTTTCCCCCCCAGCCTGTATATGATATATGCGGAAACAGAGGCAGGAAGGCATTCAGGTACCAAGAACCCTTTCCCCCACCTAGGAACCACCATATCCAATCCACTATAATATCATCACAGTGTTGTGGGATCGTCAAGGGCAGTATAGCTCTGCATGGGCACGGGACACTCAGAAAGATCCACTGCTCAAAAATTTCTCTAACAGTCTACCAAATAAAAATTTATTTGGTTAGTTAAGTGACTGACTTGAAAGTGGCAAATATCATGGGAGCTGGGAGGAGGCGCTTAGGCCATTAAGGCACTCATACTTTGTCTTGAGTTATATTAACCACTGTTCCTTTACTGAAATCTACAGACATCAAATGTTTATTTACAAAGGCAACAGGTAACAGTGGCACCTTGGTAATAAAGACATGAAGTTAAAATTCAGGCTCTGCCACTTAAAATTTATGGTTTCTTGAGCCAATTATTTCAGTTTTGTGAATTTCAACTTCTCTGCTCCAACTTACAATATGGTTGTAATGATTAAAGTGAGAACAGCCACGTGATAAACTTCTCCCTCCAATCTAAGACTTGTTATTATCTGCAACGTAAGGAAAATGAGAGGTGAGCACAAAAGCAGAATGTAGGTGTGGATAAGGACACAACGGTAGAGGACCAGAGAGCCAGAAAGTCCAATGAAACCCTGAGATGACTAGAGGACACCAAAGCAGCAGTTCTAAGAAACTGAAGCAGAGAAAAGGAAGATGATATAGCGTCCTAATTTCAATACAAAGCATGTAAATTAAATACTAGTAACAATACATAAACAGGTATGTAGTTAATGACAAAACTTGAATGTATGTACGTAACTGCAGAATTTAAGTACAAATCCCAGCCATTGCGAAATAGGTTGTCTGGGGTTTTTTTGTTTGTTTTCCTGAGGACATATCTGAATTACAGTATTATGCCAACCTATGAGCTAACTGAAGTTTTAGACCCTGGCCAATCTTTTAGAGCCTTCTGTTAAAAAGAAATTTTCTCAAACTTCTTGTTAAGTTTAATACATGTTTGGAAATTATGTTTAAAGTTCATTAAAACTGATTAACAGAAGCAGCAATAACAAAAAAACAGGCTAGCATCCTAACAAATAAATTTTATTGTTAATATGCTTCTTCTCAGGGTAATTAAAAGCTAACATTCTTATATTTCAATGACTAAAGTAACTTTTATTTGCCCAAATGGTTTTCATAATCTTGATGATGACATATACGTTAAGTTCAAAAAGAACATATGAATTTTGGGTTGCTGCTTTAACAAATGACAATGAATTCAAAGTCTCAGAACCCTCCGTCCCCTAGGACACAGAGCCCTCACACTGATTTCTCTCTGTCTCTTGCTCTCTCTCTCCCTCCCCATTTTAAAATAAATAAAATCTTTAAATCTAGATTCTATAGTCTCTGTAGCCTGGAATTCCACAGTGGCAGTTCCATCCTGAAAATAAATTCAGGGCAGTTTGTTTAAAAGATATTACACTATTGTGGTACTACAGGATAGATCTTCCATATGGCAATATCAAGCCCCCATTATACTATCGTCAAGTCTTAAAATCTTTAGGGATTTTAACTCATAATTACAGAGTTTAATTTTATCTCTGACAAATTCCTGCACAGCTTCTTTCATTATGTACAGTGACTAATCTATCTGCAGCCTCTCCTCCCTACTATAGTTCAGGCGTACCTCAGAGATATTGTAGGTTGTGAAGCAAATATAGCAATATGCAGTGAAGAAACTATAGCAAGTCACATGAATGTTTTGGTTTCCCAGTACATATAAAAGTTACATTTACACTATACTATAGTCTATCAAGTATACATATCTTAATTAAAAAACGCTTTACTGTTAAAAAATGCTAATCATCATCTAAGCCTTCAGTAATTCACAATCTTTTTGCTGGTGGACAGTCCGGCCTTGATGTTGATGAAAACACAGTATCCGCAAAGTACAATAAAACAAGCTATGCCTGTAGTGATGATGTACTGAAAACAATACTTTTATCATCAATATTCCTAAAGATCTCTAAAAATGCCTTATCTCCAACCAAATGAACTATATCTCCCAAAACCTATACTGCCTCCAAATATACTATTCTTATTACCATAGTCTAGCCCATCTGCAATCCTTTGAAAATGAAACATGTCTTTTCTACCTTTTACTATTCCCCTACCTTTAAATAAAGTTCTTATATTTCAAAGGAGAGGCTACCTTTTAAGGCTTAGCTTAAATTCACCCATTCACTTAACATGTTGCCCTTACCATGTACCAAGGCTCGTATCCTAGAGACACAACAATCAGAAACACATAGTTGTTGCACTCCAAGTGTCCCCGGTCCCATGTGAAACCATTCCTAATTGCCTCTGCTGCAAGCGAACTTCCCCTTTTCTCAGGGTTTAAAACCCTAAGTGCTCAAAGCTTGTAATGGATAACATCAAACATATATGTGTGGCCTCTACTGCTAAAATTAGAACTTTCACTTAAGAACAGAAACCATGTATTTTCCTTCCTAAGAACACTACTTTTTATAGTGTAAGGGCTTAAAATTACTTTTTAGTTGGTATGCTGGAGGAAAAAATTAAGACCATACATATTTTGTATCATGATAAAATAACCTTAACCCTCAGGAAAACTACTTACAATGACTTTAAGGAATAGAATGTATTAGCAGAGCTGATCATCACATGTTGGCAATTAGAACCATAAAGAGAAGGCTAACCTTTGCTCTGATAAACAGAGAGAATGAAAAAGGTTTATCGAACAGCAAAGTGAAAGAGCTAAAGTTGAAAAGAGAAAATTGAAATTAAAAACATAAAATTAAAATTTTTCTTTCATCTCCAAAGTGGGCAGGGGAAAATCACAGTTCTTAGAGGTAAGCAGCTAAAATACAGTTTATCACTCAAAACCAATCTAAGAACAAAGACATTCTGGGGACTCTGAATAAGCAAAGGAACCAACCTCATTAATTCCTCCACTTTATCATCTACATCAAGGTCTTCTTCTGAGGCTTCAAAACTGTATGACCTCTGACCCATGCTGTTTGCATGGTAGCGAGTTGGTGACATCTTTCCATTGGACGTGGACAACCGCTCGTTATTCTCCCTCCCATTTTGATTGGTAGTGCAAGGCTGTGGGGAGGTATCATAACTGTTGCTAGGTGATGGGGACATTCCCGAATGCTGGGTCTGTGTGGAAGCTGTAGCTGTAGAGGAAGAGGCTGCAACATTGTTGGTACTATTCCCGTATGAATTTCCCCCATAGCTGGATCTTCTTCCAAACTTGTCACTATGCTCTTGATCAAGTCGGTCCAAAGTTTCCAAGGCATGGAGAATTTCATGTTTAGTCATTCCAGTACGCCGAAGGCGCTGAAGCAGATCTATCTGTTCTATGGTAAATCTGGGTTCATCTGTATAGTGAGACATGGTTTCCAACAAACTAAAAAGAAAATTAAAATTAAAATTAAAAAATGTCCCTTTATTTACAATATTTACCAAAGAACATATCATTGTACAGAATGCTCAGCAGAAGATGCTGAGCTTCTTCACTGAAAATGACTGAGGCATTACTATTATAATGATCCACGTTTCAGTTATGGCAGCAACCCCAAAACAATGGATTAAATAAATACACTATGAAGCCCAGGCTACATGATTACTCACAGGTGGTTTTTTAATCTCAAATTTATTATTCTACATTAGAGTATCAATAAAAAATTGCTGAAAAAATACTTTGTATTATCTTATTTTACTAAATAACAGCAAAACTGACTTAGGAACTCTATAACTTCATTTATTGTAAACAAATGATTCAATAAGCTAAACCAAAGCAAAAACTAATAACTAGCAGAATTATTTAAAAACAAGAGAGAGGTACATCAAAAACTTATTAAGCACCATTTTATCCACCACTTAGCAATTTTGTATTTCATTTCTGTAATGCATTCTCTGTTAAGTGATATCCTGAGAAATGGATATTTCATGATTGTAGCCAAACTGAACTATTTATTTGTCTTAGAAAATGGCTTCTACATTATGTTTACTTTAACTAACACAAGATGCTGCAGCACATCAGAAAATGTTCCAGAGTCAATGACAATACAACATTGGTCAACAACAGATCACATACACAACAGATCTAGGTGATCCCAAAAGATCACCACCTAGCTATCGTAACAGCCTTTGCAATCTCATGATGCAACGCACTACTCCTGTGTTTGTGATGGTGGGGCAAACGAACCTACTGCACTGCCAGTCATTTAAAAGTATAGCACATGCAATAATGTACAGTACATAATGCTTGATAATGATAACAAACAACCATGTTACTGATTCACGCATTTCCTACACTATACTACTATCGTTACTGTAGAGTGTACTTTTTCTACTTACTGAAAAAATGCGCTGTAAAAGAGTATGCAGTGTCACTACAGGAGCAGCCTGCGTTGCTGTGGTGTTTACCATGTCTCATGATTGTACCCCTTTCTCTTGTGCTGTTTTGTACAGTAACATGCTGTACAGGCTTGTAACCCAGGAGTAACAGGCTGTACCATACAGCCTAGGTGTGTAGTAGCTGTACCATCTAGGTTTGTGTAAGTGCACTCCACAATATTCATCTAACAATGAAATCACCTAACAATCCATTTCTCAGAATGCATCCCCACGGTTCAGTAGTGCTTGGCTGTATTAAATTTAAGGGAGTTGTCAAACACAAAAATTCTTACTACTTTAATTCCTTTTTTTTATAATACCCAAATTTCCTATTTAACATATTTTAAACTGGCAATTTCTTCTATTTTTATTTGTATAGTTCTATGCCAAATAGTATGCATTGCATGTAGTAGGCTCTCAAGTGTTTGCTGATGGAAATAAATGTCAACTGCAGGAGTTTCTTCAACCCTCTACATTAAAAATTTATTAAATACTCACATCTAGGAAGGCACTGGGCAAGAGTTTCATATAATATAATGTCACCTAATCCTCCCAGTGACCTTCTGTGATAGATTTTCTTTTTTTTCATTTGTATTCATTGATTGATTATTGAGGACACTAAGGCCCAGAGTGATTTTGTACCTTGTAAAAAGTCTGATTAAGAAGCAGAAAAGATTTAAACCTAGATCTTACTAACTCCAAAATCATACATTATTCTGCTTTCCAATAAAGGCAGGACTTGCTGGAAGCACATGATTTGGGGTACAGGCTATTATACTCTTTTAAATCTCCAGTATCTTCTGCTTCCTCCCAATGCACGTGACCATCCACCACAGCAGTCCTTACTTTCATGATCATTACATTCTTTCTGGATGGCCTAGGCTTTTTCCTCCAGCCACTTTGCAATAAAAAATTTCATACAGAAAAAACTGAAATATATTTACAGTGAATCTACATACTAAGCACTCAGATTTTACCATTACCATCTTACTTGCTTTATCACATATATATTGAGTCCATATGCATCCATCCCTCTATTTGTCTTATTTTTCAATGCATTTCAAAATCAGTTACAGACATCTGTACACTTCCCCCTAAATACTTTTGCCTGCATATCACTGACTAGAGCTCAGTATTTGTTCAGGTTCTTTCTTTTGGGGTCACCCTTACATAAAGAAAAGACATATATGTTTACCTTTCTGTGAATTTTGAGAAGAAGGTACATATGCGAAATTCAAATGCCTATGGAGATACAGCACGTCACCATCACCCCAGGCAGTCCCCTCACGTCCCTTCCCTGTTCCTTTCCCTCAGAGGCAACCACTGCTCTGATTTCGGCCCCACTACAAATTAGTTTCGCCCGTTCTAGAAAATCATATAAATGGAATTTTTACGTGCTCTTGTGTAAGGCTTCTTACACTAAGCATAAAGATTTTCAGATTCATCTATAATGTTGTGTCTATCAACAGTCTGTTCCCTTCTATTGCTGAGTAGTACTTCATTATAGGAATATACCACAGGTTTATCCATTCTACTTTGGACATTGGGACTATTTCCAGTTATTAGTAATTCTAAATGCTTTAGCTATTATAATTGTACTCTACTAATTTTCTATTAATATATTCCACTGTAATATATCATCACCTACCTGGTTGGGTGAGAAAACTTTCAACCAGAGTAACTCATTTACTTTTTCTCCTGACTGATTTCAAAAGAACAGTACCCGTTACTTAACACAAAAGATCTGTTATTCAAATGTTCTATGATCTATGCTAGTTATATTATACAGGTGCATTCGCTGTGGACATTCACCAATTTGCACACTACTGATTTGCACATTTTTCAGTAGATATGTTGCACTTAAAAAATTTGTTGGAAAAAAAAACTACACGAATATTTTCCTAATGACTTATAAGAAACAACACTTTGGTTTGTTTTAATCCTCAGCCCTTTGTGTGCTCTACCAATTGCTGAATAGTACAGCAGTCCCCCCTTAACCACGGTTTTGCTGTCAACCAAGGCTCCAAAATATTAAATGAAAAATACCAGAAAGAAACCATTCGTAAGTTTTAACCTATGCCTTGTTCTGAGTAGCATGATGAAATCTCACACCGTCCTGCTCCACTCTGCCTACGATGTGAATCATCTTTTTGTCCAGCATCTCCAGACTTACAGGCTACCCACTCATTAGTCACTTAGTATCCATCTTAATTATCAGATGGACTGCTGCAATACTGCAGTGCTTGTGTTTAAGAAACACTTATTTTACTTACTAATGGTCCCAAAGCACAACAGTGATGCTGACAACTGGAAGATACCAAAGAGAAGCTGTAAAGTGCTTCCTTGAAGTGAAAAGGGGAAAGTTCTCAATAAGAAAAAAAATTGTATGCTGAGGTTGCTAAGATCTAGGACAAAAATGAATTTTCTATCTGCAAAATTAAGAAGGTAAAAGAAATTTGTTAGCTAATTTGCTTAGAGAGACTACTTGCACATAACTTTACTATAATAGTTAAAATTGTTCTATTTTATTATTGTTGTTGTTGTTAATCCCTTACCTAATTTATAAATTAAAGTATTTCATCGGTATGTACATACGGGAAAAACATAGTACACAGTGTTCAGTATCTGTGGTTTCAGTTACCCACTGGGAGTCTTGGAACATAACCACCGTGGACAAGGGGAAATGCTGTTTACTAACCCTTACCCTAGGAAGTTGTTTTTTAAAGTAGTTGACAAATCCCTTTAGTACTCCAAATAATTTACCCTTGAACTTATTACTTTGGTAAATTGAGGTTTCTATACATCATTCTTTTCCCTTTAAAATGAATGCCTGTCCATTACTAACTTTAGTCTTCACATTTTCAAAATACTTCATAAGCTGACATGCCCTTACTTTAAATAGACTTCAAGAACTGTTTTTTAATATGGAAAATAAAACAAGACAAAACACCAATCAAACACTACAGGGGCCAAAGTTCTGCCACCCCAAAATGTACCTTTCGGGATACTGATTTGAAGCTGGTTATTAAGAAACAAAGACTCAAAAAACCTTTGATCCTCCCCCTTTCCTATCTAAGGGAAGTCAGATGGGAAGTCCTGCTTCAGGAAGGGAATCCTAACATACTCACTTCAAAACTTTCACCTTAGCCTAGTAGGTTAAATACGACAGGAAAGATCCGTGCAAAAAAAACCAAAACCTGTTCTGCTGAATTCTCCCCTCAGTTCCACTGTTCTTGGGTTGCCTTGCATGAATTTGTTGTTCACGTATTCCACTCTTTCTCGGCTACCTATGAATTGCCTATTTCCCCTCGAATTCCCAAACCCGTGCCCCCACCCCTTCCTCTTTGTCTAAAATGGCATATAAACCTCAACTGCTGAACGCCTCTTTGGGTCTCATTATGACAACCCCAAACGTACATTTGTATAATAAACTTTGAACATTTTGTCCAGTTAATCTCTGTTAATTTGATTAGCCCAACTAGAAGAATTTAGAAGGTATGAGAAAAAATTTTTGATGGCCCCCATGATATTTTCCTGTCTTATTTATGTCAGAACAGAAAGTAATCTGTATAACTTCAAATCTCTCTGTATAGAGCAGTACTTTCTATTAGCATGAAACTAAAGTATATTATATGAATTATATGAGTTATATTATATGAACCTCTAACTAAAAAGTACCTATCCTAAAGATGGTAACAGAACTAAAGATTCCACAGTATCTGAAACAATGTACTCTTTTACATCACTTCAGATTCACTGATGATGGAACACACTTTTATTTGAAAAGTCATAAAAGGAGATAACACAAAGGACCAATTAATTTTGTTTGCCCAGAATGCCTCATTGTTTCTGACCACATGTTCTTGGGGCTGCTACTGATAATACTCCACTTCCTGACTAATGGGGTGGGCACACAGGAAGCCAAACTCTGCTCTCTTCAAAATATTCAGGATAGACTAGCGGATGATCACTATGACTGTGTTCAGCTGCAGGAAGATGTTAATCTGGTACATCCCTCACCATGTGAAAGAAGCCAGTTTGTAGGAGACTTAAAGCATGTGTCAAAAAATGCAGGACAAAGGACAAAACCTTGCAGTGCTCGTTATCCTTGTTCTAGTAATTCCTAAACCCCTGCTACATTCCTGCTCTTCTTGCTCTATTAGGAGAATAAATTTCCCTTTTTGTTTCTCCTTGTTTAAATCAGATGTTTGTGCCTTGCACCAAGAGGTCCCTAATACTAAAAGATACATCTAAAGTAAAAACATCAACAGCCATGAGAATGGAATATACAAGGTATGTTCAGAAAAAGTCCAACCGCTGTTAATAGAACAAGAACGGTTTGCACGGCATTGATGTAAACCTGGCAGCCAAGGAGAGCGGACTGGGATGAGCATGTGTGAACAATGACTTCACTTTAGTAGTGGGGGTGGGGGGTGGTGTGGTAGACCCTGCTGAGTGAGCATGTGTACTATGTGGTGTCGCATTCAATATAACTGAGCAAGTAGAGTAATGAGTCTGCAAGAAATTTTGTATTAAGCTTGAACATTCCTTTGCAGAAACTATTCGAATGATTCAGAAGCCCACAGCTATGAGCAACTGGTGATTGACAGCTTCATCACAACAACACACCTGCTCATGCATCATGTCTTGTGCAGAGATTTCTAGCATAACATCAAATCACCCAAGTGACTCAGCCCCTCTGTAGCCCAGATTTGGTGCCCTGCAACTTCTAGCTTTTCCCATAACTAAAATCACCTTTGAGCCTGCGAACCAAAAGATCGTGGTCCAATTCCCTGTCAGGGCACATGCCTGGGTTGCAGGCCAGTTCCCAGCAGGGGATACACCAGAAGCAACAAATACATTGGTATTTCTCTCGTTCTCTCCTTCCTTTCCCTTCTAAAGATAAATAAATAAAATTTAAAAAATAGTTTTTAAAAAATCGCCTTTGAAAGGGAAGACATTTCTGACCATCGATGAGATTCAAGAAAATACAATGGGGCAGCTGATGGTGATTGGGAGAACTGTGTGAGGTCCCAAGATGCCTACCTTAAAGGGGACTGAAGGGTCATTGTCCTATGTACAATGTATCTTGTATCAATGTATCTTGTATCTTCTTCAATAAATGCCTCTATTTTTCATAGGACATGGCTGGATACTTTCTGGACAGACCTCGTAGATCCCTATCTAGTAGAATGATAATGTCATAATGAGAAGGATCAATCATGCATGTAACACTGGAGGAACAATATCTTACTGAGAAAATACCAAGATTGGCAGCTTCCTTGAATACTGAGAATAATATCCCAATGTGCATATTATAAACAAAGGCACACATTCTGTAATTTTCAAATTTCATTTCTCATAATTTATCTAATTTTGGCACATAATCATGCAATTACGGCAATAAATAACCTACAAAGGTCATCTAAGTCTATGATACCAGCAGTTCTTTCAGAGCAGAAAGACAACATGTAAGAATGGAATTAGTTTTCTTGCACAGCACGAGGACTGCTCACAGGATTAGGAGCATCTCCCACTCTAAGTCACTAATCTGAACGCAGACTCAGGCCAACAATAATTGAAAATGTGTGAAAAGAATTCTGACACTGCAATAACACAGACAATGTTTAAAGGATAAAAGAACAATTAAATTCAGGAATTATGGTTCAGTTCAAAAACTGATGTTATAAAAAACCATAATAGTAAGCCTATTTTATGATAAATTTTACCCTTAGTTGGAAATGTATGTAAACTCTTCTTGGATATGGCATGAGGTGAGGAACACACTTTCTTAAACTAAATTCTACACACATGTAGAGCAAAAAAGGTTTGAATACTCACAAATGATTAATCTTGAAATCACATGCAAAAAAAAAAAAGACTACTTCCTTACTTGTAAAGCATCAATGCTTAATGAAATTTAATTGGATAATATGTCATTTTCTACAGCTTGATTCTGCTGTCTCTATCTTTTTATCTGGAATGACTCGGCAAAAGATGGCCTGGTCATAAGTTAGTTTTGTTTGGATTACACGATTTGTACTGCATGATGACTTAACACTTTCTACAGTCAATCATAACATTCATCTGAAGATGTCCGCAGACCCTTCTTACTATTTATGGCACATCACCCTCTTTCACAATTAATATTACCATCAAAGGAGTGGCAGTGTTAAAGTAAGAAAATGACAAGGAGTATGAATAAGTAAGAAATGAAAGATTTACTAGGGATGGAGCATGACAGTATGATAAAATGATTCCATAATTCAAACCAATAGGAAAACTGATAAAAGCATAATAGAGGCTATGATGGTAGATAGCAATATAAAAATATTATTTTCATAATAAAAAGAGTTCGAGAATAAGAGCATTATATTCCAATGTGTCAATCACTCTTTAATAGTTATTTCTAAATCACCACTGATTAAGACTGAAATTTCTTTGTAGCTACTTCATGCATGTTTGGGGAAAAAATCCAAGTTAAAACAAGTTTACAGAAGGGGAGATATAAATTAATTATGGCGTCAAGAGAACTGGAAGCCATTTAGACAAAAATCATTAACTCAACTAAGACTGAGTGTTTCCTATGTGTTAGACCACAGATGATGCAAGAAGGAACAAATCAGGCAAATATTCCTAACTTCCTAACCTCATGATGCTTACATTCTTTTAAAAATATATATTTTCAAATTTATTTATTTTAATAAATAAATTTATTAAAGGAGAAGGGAGGGAAAGAGAAGGAGAAAGAGAGAGAAACATCAGTGTGTGGTTGCCTCCTGTGCACCCCTCACTGAGGACCTGGCCCATACCCAGGGCATGTGCTCTGACAAGGAATCAAACTGGTGATCCTTTGGTTTGCAGTCCAGCACTCAATCCACTGAGCCACAACAGCCAGGGCAACTGATGCTTACACTCTAATGGCTATTAAGAACAGCCATCTTAAATAAATCCTTTTTTAAAAAAAGGAGGGGTGGGGGGCTACAGTCCAAAGCCCTGCAGTGCCTCCCACTTCCCAGGGACACAGCCACTCGGCATCAGCGCAGGCTGCAACTCACACCTGCTGGGCCTACTCCAGAGAGCTCTCGATAAATGACTGCATCAATGAGGGGGGAAAACCTTTAATGAAAAACCTAAATAATAAGGAAAACGTATCTGAGTGTCTACTTACTGGATTATAGAACTGTCAACCAAGACGGAAGGAATTTAATTGAAACAGAGACTGAACCAAATTTTAGAAAATACTTATGCTAAAGGCACTCTGCATTAGACTCTAAAGATGCACTTAATGAGCTAATAGATACTCTATCTTCTCTAATATCTGAAATTACGGGAATACTTTTACTCAGAGGCCTATTTAATATGAACTAGTGGTTAGTTCATATCCTAGCACAGACACAAAAAAATTCTCAACATAATACCATCATCTCAATTTGCATTTTTTGCCTGACTCCAAAGGAAGGCTCACAACTGCATTAGCTAATAGACTTAACTACGTTACTATCCCTGGTAGGTAAAGGAAAACGGCTAAGGTGCTAGGAATTTGCACAGAAAAGGCAGTATTAAGGTAACATGCTTCCAACAGTGTGTTTGTCACAAGGAATCTAACACCAGCTCTCTCAAATGGCTAAACATCTACTTCACATGTTTCTAGGCTATTAGGCAGTTTAAAATAATAAATAGAGTAATTTTATGTTGAATTGAAAATTCATGTCAGACTTCAAAGTTGAAAACAGAAATGGTAAAAGAGAAAGTTGATAGATTTGAAAACTTATCAAAGAAATTACCACATGATTATGAAAAAGGTCTTTCAATTCTACAAAGGCCTGCTTTCATTTCAAATCATCATCATAATGACTTCTTCACTATATTTAAAACAGTTAAGAAGATAAAAATTAAGAGAAGGACTAGACACTTACACCACTGGGAAGGAACTGAGCATACTTTACATGAGGTGAATCAATATCCTTTCTAGAGATGACCGGCGTTATTTACCATTCTGTGGAATAAAGACAGAAAATTCAGAAATTTTGTATTTGTTAATCAAGTATTAGGTAACAAATTTAATTATACAACTCAAGGATATTAACATTTTAACATCAGTTAATTATATCTTTAAAATTATGTTCTAACTTTAAAATGAAACTGGTTTGAAGCAAAATTTTAAAAACAAGGCCCTGGCTGGCGTAGCTCAGTGGATTGAGCGCGGGCCTGCGAACCAGAGTATCGCAGTTCGATTCCCAGTCAGGGCATATGCCTGGGTTGCAGGCCAGTTCCCAGCAGGGGACTCAAGAGAGGCAACCACACATTGACGTTTCTCTCCCACTCTTTCTCCTTCCCTTCCCCTCTCTCTAAAAATAAATAAATAAAATATTTAAAAAAAATTTAAAAACAGAAAAATACTAGTGATAGTTTTAGAGACTATTCACTTGGAAAAAGGAATGAAAACCACCCCCCTGAATGTTAATCTGTTATCAGACACTACCCAAAGCAGAGAAAGAGCTTTAAACATGCAATGGAATATATGTGTATATATGACATTCAAGATAACTCTTTGATAAGAACATTAGTGCATTTATGTAGAATTCTACAAACAAAAATACACCACAGCATGATTGCAGCTAAACGCCTTAACTGTGTGGTAAATTCTAGGGTCTCGTTCCAAGTATATTTCTTATTCCCCTGCTAGCCAAATTTTGAGTGACTTAAATTTCTCTAGCCAAATCTTGAGTAACTTACTTTCTCTAAGTCTCAATTTCCTCATCAGTCAAAACAGGAATAGCAGATAACTACTTCAACAAGCTACAAGAAGTTAAATCATTTCTTAAAATGGTAACGATAAAGCACTTCACAAACTATCAAGTATCAGGGGCTGTTACCACCCATTTTAAAGATGAAGAATAGCAATACTGTAGATTACTGAGCACAGTATACATTAATAATGGAGGAACTGAAGTTAGTACTTTCGTTTTCTGATTGTATTCTCCTGCTTTATTTGCCACTCAGACATTCTGACCCCTTTCAATTTAGAAATAGAGGTTAACAAAAAATGAAATCTAGTATTCATGGTTTAGGAGCTAAAGATCCTGTGTCACTGACTGAACTTATTAGCAGTTTCAAACCACAATCTACACAGGCAAACATTTCCATTAACTTGAAGTTAAGATTATAAATTAGATGAAAGTTTAAAATGTTCATGTCAAAACCCTCCCGTGTTAAAGTACACATTCGGCACTGAATTATACTAAGCAAGACCAAAGTGTCTAACAGTGGCTAATGCATATATGCAAAATATACAGGGCACAGTCAGAAACCTTTCACATTTGCATATCTTAAATTGTAGCTTTAATGAACTTCCTGTAGTAGTTAATTTTCTTGCTGACCTGAGAAATATCTATCCTAAAAAAGTAGATACAGTTTCTTGCTTTGGCCAGTGTGGCTCAGTTGGTTGGAGCATTGTCCCATGGACTGAAGGTTGAGGGTTTGATCCCCAGCAGGGCCACGTAGGAGAGGGTGGCTAATCAATGGTTTTCTTTCTCTCTCTCACCATTCCCTTTCCTCTCTTGCTAAAAGCAATGAAAATAAATGTCCTTGGGTGAGAATTTAAAAAAAAAAAAAGATATAAAGTACAAAGAAAATGTACTCTACTGAAAATGTTGCTGATTGCATTTCCAAGACAAAATAGCAACACCAAGCCACAAAGCTGATTACTGGTCAATACACATTTTTCACTTTTGTTCAAATCCAGTTAAAATATATTAAGTGGCTACATACCCTGGCACTGGCACAAGGTCATGAGTAAGATATGATACCAACAGTGTAGGAGCTTATTAAACTGTGGGGGAGTGTCAAATAAAAATTAGACACACACACCTCTAATAAAAGGCATAATGTGAATACTCTAAAAATACAAAGTTTCTGAGTAACAATTTAGAAGAATTTAGGTTACAAAGAAGTGGGAAAACTTCTTAGAGTGAAATCTCAGCTATTATCTGAAGATTAGAGTAAGACTTCCACCAAACCAAGGTGTGAAGGGAGGTGACAATCACTGCAAGAAAAATTCCAGAGAGAAGGAACAGTTAAAGAAGATTAGGAGGTATGTTTACGAAACAGAGCAGAACCATACACATCTATCTAATTGTATGAGCACGGAGAGAAAACAGGTAGTCAAAAGGTAATAAGGTTGGGTTGAAGGACGGGTATGTATAAGGATTATAGGTAAAGAAGGATAAGTCCATACAGTTCTGCAATAAAATTATAAAAGTTCCTACTATCAGAAATGGACTCAATCATCAAATGATTAGTTGAGGGCTGTCAAAATCCTACACAAAGTCAGGTTGAGCAATGAAGAAATGCCTACTAGGAGCATTGTTGACCCTTGAAGAAAAATATAACCCAGAAAATTCAGTGGAAACAAGGACCTGTAGATGCTGTGTTACCCACGGGTGGTAAGTAGGCTCTTTTTACCCTAGCTTTTCTCTTTAATATAAAAAGTGTAACTGTGCAAGGTAAAAGAAAAGGTGAACTTAAAAGACATACAATAAAAGGTGTCTGCCTACCACTCCGCACTCTTTTTTCTCTTCTACCCAGAGAGCAGACACCATTTCTTCACACATCTTTGTACACATATGAGTGTTAACTTTAGGATAAATTCCCAGCAAAGGAATTGTTAAGGCAAAGAGGATACACAGTAAACTATGACACAGTTTATCAAATTGCCTCCCAAAGAGGCACCGATTTACACTCCCACCTTCAGGAAACGCTTCATTGTGAAGCCAGTATGTCAGTTTCACAATTGAATTTACATTGTGCAGTTGGACATGTATCTGTTTCACTCAATAATGGTAAACACAGAAAGGGCAGAATATTTAAATCAAGTAATAAAGACATAAAAGACAAGGCACAGGCAGCAAGCAAGCCATCACTGCAAACATCAATTACCAAGACCCTTAAACTCAGGTTTTGGTACAAAAAAGAATTCTCAGATGTTTGCAACAGCTATTACAGAGCCCCTTTCAGTGCTCTTTCAGCACCTCACACAGAACCCAGTGTTATCCACTTAAAATATCTATTTAAAAACAAAAGCAAAACATGAGTTAAAATAGAGAGGTACATAAGCCTCATGATCCTGTAAGTTGATGTTATTAGTACTTTCAATTTACAGGTGAGAAGGCAAATCTTCTTCTAGATTAGACATATATCAGAAACACACATACAAATATATAAATAAACCTAATACATGGCCGTTAAAAAAACTCCACCATAACAAATAAAAAATGAACATCTCCACCCCTTACCTCTGAATCCTTCTGCCCACAGATAACACTACAAGGCTTCTTGTGAATCCTTACAAAGAAAAGAAATAAATATACATAGACCTGAGGCTTTTAGAAATTTTTTATGAAAATTTGCAAACATGTACAAGGGCAGAAAGAACGGAGTAAAAATTGTATCCATCATCCAGCCTGAATAATTAACAACTCCCTTCCCTGCTCCCCTGGTTATTTTCAAGCAAATTCTGGATATCTTATCATCTGGATACACACAATTACTAGAAAGCTTTAATAGCTGGTTTCCAAATCCGGGGTAGATTAGACATAAAAATTTAGAAAATGGTTGGGAAATGCACAAAAAGGATTACAGGAAAAAAGTGATAGCTACTTAAAAAGGAAAATACAAATGAAAATAACTATTTAATTGTAAATGCAGGGTGGGGCAAAAGCAGGTCCACAAGAAACACAGAGTTCATTCTTGGGTTAGCTATTCACTGATCACTGTGTCACTTTCCACAAGGACAGCGGTGAACTGTACCTTGGCCCCGCCCTGTGCCTGAGCACAACACTGACACATCTATCACAAAGAGGGATGCTTAGGGTCTTTGTTTCAAAAGGGCAGTAAATTATGTGAGTGATACACTTGTTTTTAAAACTTGAAATGGTTAAAAGGAAAGTTCACATTTTAGGTAGTTAATCAGAAGTTGTTTCACTTAATGTCAAACACAGTTTCCCTTGAACAATGCCAGATAAATGAGGCCTCACCAGAGTTAGCTGTGACTTGGGAAGCACATGGACAATTGTGAAAAAAACAAAACCACAGATATTAGGAATTAAAAACTCTGATTAAAATACTAATCTCTAAAATAATGCCTCTAGATAGCTTAAAACTGTAAGTAACAACCACTAATACTATTAAAGAATACTTCCCTGGGCCACTCACTGGGCAAGTGCTTTAGATATACAAACTCATTTAATTTCATAATCCCCTGTGGTAGGTAATTAAGACAAGACACTACTTGCCCAAGGTCAATCAGCTAATGAACTTCCTCACTAAAACTGTAGCTGAAGTACTTATGTTAGGTTTCATCTTTCTTCAAAATACAAGATTAGGTACACCATTTATTTTCATTCTCTGGAGCAAATGTTTAATTATGATAGGTACTGTGCAACAAATTGAGCAACAGACACATCGTATTTTGCCATGTATAACATGTTCCCATCTATAATTGCACCCATGTTTTTGGCCCAAACTCTCAGGCAAAAAAAATTCTTTGTTTTAATTTTTTAATTCAATTATTTATTTATATTTAGAAACAAAACCAATTATCATATCCCAGGGTATTATTTTGCATATAGATATCATTATTGCTTTCTAGAGTTATACTTTTGACACAGAAACATAAAAGAATTAAAAACATTTATATACACACAGACTTAGTAATACCCATGTATAATCCTTATTTTTCCCTCAAAAATTTGGGTAAAAAAGTATGCATTATACATGGCAAAATACAGTACTTCTATCTGATGATTTTTTAGAAAAATATCTTATGATGTTTACGTTAAGTTTTATTCATTATGAATCACAATTCAAGGTTAAGTATGTTACATTCCATGGAGATTTCTATTGAAAAAGCTTCATTACATATACTACTTGTCAAATTTCTAAAGACCTACTGATACTTGTATAACTATATTTCCAGTGATAGGAAAGTTTAATGGA